GGAACCACGAATACCCTCAGTCGGGGCTCAGAAGGAGCCCCCAGGGGCCACATCAGGCCCAACTGCAGGAGCAGAGGCAGCCAGCCCCGCGGCTCCATCTCCTCGGCCAGCACAGGGGCTGGAGGACGTCTGCCTGCCTGCGGGCCCCGCCTCCTGCCAGCTGATGGGGTCACCGCCCTTTGGTGGATGCAGCGGGATGGAGACCAGGAGTGACGCCCACACAGAGGCTGTCACCTGAGCGGTGCAGGCGGGGGCCCTCACTGCCTTGCAGCACTCTGCTCCATCTGGGGTTTCCTGACCATCCGCCTTTAGCCAAACCCCAAACACCACCTCCCCAGGGAAGCCTGCCAGCTTCCCTCTGGCTCCCCTCACCCCAGTCCTCATGCCCCTTCCCTAGGCCTCTCCAGTATTTCCCACTGGGCATCTCACCCATCCCTGCCCCCACCCACTGGACTGGCTCCTTCACACTGCCCTGCAAATCCTAACTCTCAGTGTGGGGCCTGCCACCACCAGGAAGCCTGCCCTGATACACTCTCCTTCACATGAAATCCCCAGACTGAGCCTTGCAATAGGTGTTGTCATCTCTTTTGAGTAAGAAAGTTGGCTTCACAAACAGGACCTGACTATCTGAGGTCACACAGGTAGTGGAGCAGCAAGAAGGCCTGAAAATTTCAGAATTAGGTCTGGATCACGGATAGTGACTTTGGCAAGATGCCTAAGCTCCCGAGGTCTCAGCAGCCTGTCTGTAAACTGGGATATCCTTAGAAGAGCTGGGGACCCGAGAGGGAATTCACAGGAGATGACAACAGCGGGGTCTCCTTCCTGGAGGATGGCTGGCATGGTGATGCAGCCTGCAGGGGTCAGAGTGTTGCCTGGGGGTCTCTGTAACGCTGACTTGGAGCAGGGGTCTGGGAGTGGGTTCTTCTGTCTGACTTCCAAATGCCTGAGTGGCTCTTTCTGTCGCTGCCCGACCTGAGACTCACTCTCACTTTTGGCCACCTTGTCCCCTCCCCCAGCAAATACATCTGGAGAACACGGTCTCCAAGCAGGTCTCTATCCTGTCTCTCCCATCCCCTCCCTGGTACTCACCTAACCTGACTCTACCTGGACTTTCCTCCCAGTGGGGGTCTTAACAGCGACAGATCCCATCTCACAGATCTGGAGACCGGAAGGCCCCCGGAGAGTCAGGGCTCAGGGCAGATTCTGTGACAGCCTCGGGGGCTCGCTCTCCATCACTGGGTGCTTGCTAAATCGCTTTAGTCAAGTCCGATTCTGAAGGACCCTATGGACTGCCGGTCCTCTGTCCCGGGATTCCCCAGGCGAGAATACTGGACTGTGTTGCCATGCCTTCCACCAGGGGATCTTTCCAACCCACTGATCAAACCTGAATCGCTTACGTCTCTGGCATTGGCAGGCAGGTTCTTCACCAGTAGGTGGCTCAGATGGTAAATTCAGGAGAGAGACCTAGGTTGGATCCCGGGGTAGGGAAGATCCCCTTGAGAAGGAAATGGCTATGCACCCCATTATTCTTGCCTGGAGAATTTCATAGCCAGGGGAGCCTGGTGGGCTTTAGTCCATGGGGTCACAAAGAGTCAGACATGACTGAGTAACTAACACCCTTGTCCTTCAAGAGACGGTAGCATTTTCTTGCAGGGACAGGCTTCAGCACAGGAGCGGTTCTTTCTGGATCAGGCTCTGTCAGGCCCAGTTGTCCAGTGGAAGAGGCTACTTGAGTTTCTGGGACCCATGGCCTTGGTTCCTGGCAGCAAATTGTCAAGTGAAAGGGCCGGTGCACATGTGTTCGGCTCCAAGGAGCATCACCGTGAACTCCACAGTGAACCCGAGCATCGTGAGAAGAACACGTGGTCCCTGAGGGCCCCACAGCAGTGCCAGCTTGTGCCCAGGGTCACATGTGGGCATGCAGCCTGTGACCTCTTCCTGATCCTGGCCATAGCGGCTCATGAGAGTGTGAAGCATGACTTGCGCTGAGTGTTCCAGAGAAAGAACAGCCCGACCCTACACTGTGCTGCGTGGGAGCTTGTAAGATGGACCCACCAGCACCATTTCTACCTATTCTTTGTGACATCAGCGCTGTCTGTCCTCTAGGTCGGGCGGCCAGCCTGGGGGCTCAGGATGCCCTGATGGGCAAACTGCCTGGGGCTGCACCCAGTGCCAAGCGCCTCCCCCCAGCAGCAGGGGCCCGGCATCCTCTAGCTTCCAACCATCCATAGCTCACGAGTCTGCCCCCTTGTAACTTGACCAGAAGCCTGCAGCTGGACCCTCCAGCACTTGTCCCCTCTGCCTTTCTGGCCTCAGCTCCCAGCCCCTCTTCTGCTCAGTCCATCCTGACGCTGCTGGAGGGCCCACTGCCCCCCCTCCTCACGACCCTTTTCCTCCGCTGTGTCCTGGCCTGGAAGGAGCCCCGTCCTCCCAGTACCACAGCTGCAGGGTCAGGGCCTCCCTACAGGTCGGGCCCTTTCCCAGGTCAGGCCCTTGCACGTGCCGTTCCCTCTGCTGGGAAGCGTCTTCCTCCACTTCCTGTCTGGAAGCTTGCTATTCCTCCTTTATTTCTCCCCATCGCCTAGAGATTTTCTCTGGGCCTCCCACCCCACCTCCATAGCACTGACTGAAGAATACAATTCTGTATTAACCTGTGTGCTTGGCCCACACCCTTCTCACCCACCAGACAGGCTTCATGGGCTCACTCTGTTCTCTGCTGGATCAGGACTGGGACCAAAGCAGGAGCTCCTGATCTTTGGGAGGAAAGAACCCAGGGATGTAACTGTCATGGACATGGCTATTCCCTCCTATCATGGACAACATGGGTGATACCCACAGCATGGCATATAAAGCTCAGCTCAGCGGCTCCTCCCAGCTCCACCTCTACCCACTGTGTGAGCCAGCCCCTCACCCCCGGAGCAGGCCAGTGCACACCTCCTGACAGCCTGACGAGCCCCCCGGCTCCTGACCTGTACGGGGAGCACCTGTAGGTCTGTCCATAGGGTGGTTTGGATACTAAGCTGGTGGAGATGTAAGTGCCCCCCCACCCCCCAGTGCCTGACCGCAGAGATAACTCTCCTCACACACAGCAGGTCCGCCCCACCCCCGGCTACAAGGCTGCCCTGCATCCTGTTCTCAAGTTTCGATCACAAACAGCCACTGAACTCTGACTGTGTGCCAGGCTCTGTGCTGGGAGGTGAGGGGACAGGAGTTGTGGTGCCCCCAGGATGTCCTTGTGGGGAGACAGGACGTGGCCGTGGTAGCTCCGTCCACAGGAGGACCTGCTCTGGTGGTCTGGAGGTGCTTGGAGGACCCTGGAGGGCTTCCTGGAGGAGGGGTGGAGGGGACAGGGTGTGGGGGAGATGGCTGGTCCTGGGCCATGGTGTGGGAGGAGAGGCAGGGTGAGGCTGGGTCTTGCAGGCTCTTTCCCTCTGCTCTGGCTTCCTCTCTTTATAACTCCACCTGTTCCCTCTCCCTGGCCACCTCCCCTCTAATCTCGCTCTGGGGCTGGGGGAGGGGCTGGCAGGGTATTCAAGTCCATCCACTCCTGCACTTTAGGGTCATTAGTGTCCAGAGTGGAGGTTGTTGTTCCCGTACTGGGTGAGGCAGCTGGAATCAGAAGGTCCTCCATTCATTTGTCAAGATCTCACCAGAAGCATCTCTATTGTCCTCCTTGGAACTGGCTTCCAGGGCTCAGTCCTCCTCTATAGGGCATCCTCGGAGAAGGCAATGGCAACCCACTCCAGTATTCTTGCCTGGAGAATCCCAGCGACGGAGGAGCCTTGTGGGCTGCCTTCCACGGGGTTGCACAGAAGCAGACACGACTGACGCGACTTAGCCATAGCAGCAGCAGCAGCATAGGGCTTCCTTGGGGAGCAGGAGACTGGGGAGAAGGAAAAGGTTCTCAGGGCAGAGCCAAACATCCACAGTCTGAGAACCTTCCCGTCCAGCCATTCCCCTTCAGTTCGTCTCTGGTAAAATGGGCTTCTTACTAAGGCTGGTGACCCTGGTGTGGTACCTGGGCACAGGGAACACAGCTGCCTGGCACCCACACATTTCCGTCTGGTCGTCCCCAGATCCCATTTCTCCTTCTCGCCTTCTTGTGCCAACTCTTCCAGGGAGGGCCCGCTCCAGACCCCTCCGATGACCTGCTCTTTCTGATAACGGCCACCACGGAGCAGAGTCCTGAGCCAGCTGCTCTTCTTGGTCCTGAAGTTATGACAGCAGCAGGGAGGTCCTGAAGATTCCTTGAGTCCTGGTGGCTGCAAACACTTTAGCTGTTTCTTTGGAAGACAGAGATGTTTAGGTTCAGTAAAGTGAGGACTTTAGCTTCCCACACTTAGATCCTTTTCCTTTCCATCTTTGAGGTTGGAAAAGTAAAACTGTTGAAAATATCAGTCGCTCAGTTCCGTCCAATTCTTTGCAACCCCATGGTCTGTAGCCCACCCAGCTCTTCTGTCTTTCACTATCTCCTTGTGTTTTGCCAAACTCACATCCATTGAGTCGGTAATGCTATCCAATCATCTCAGCCTCTTTTCCACCTTTTCTTTTTGCCTCAGTCTTTCCCAGCATCAGGGTCTTTTCCAATGAGTCAGTTCTTCGCATCTGGTGGACAAAGTATTGGAGTTTCAGCTTCAGCAAAAGACCTTCCACTGCATATTCAGAGTTGATTTCCTTTAGGATTGGCCGGTTGAATCTCCTTGCAGTCCAAGGGACTCTCAAGCATTCTCTCCAGCACCACAGTTCGAAAGCATCAACATTCAGCATTTACGGTTCAACTCTTTGTGGCCCAGAGCAGGAAATTTCATACATTGATTACCTTACACTGTGGAGTGGATTATATCCTGATGAAATCTTTTGTGGAGTCCCAGGTGCCTTTAATATACTAAAATATTTACTGATTCTGGACATTCATGTAACCCTAATTGCACAGGATGTATCCTCTTTATTTGTCTTCCTTTACTGTTCCTTTCCATGGCTGGGTGCTATTCCACTGTGCACATATGGTGAGTTTGGTGTATTTAGCTACCATGGAGGGACAACACTGACTTGTGTCCACCATTTGGTGATTGTGCATAATACTGCTTTGAATTTGCATTCAGTAGCAAGGGAGTTTCAGAAACACATCCATTTCTGCTTCATTGAGTATGCTAAAGTTTTTGACTGTGTGGATCACAACAAACTGTGGGAAATCATGAAAGAGACGAAAGTACCAGAACACCTTACCTATCTCCTAAGAAACCTAATGTGTGTCAAGGAGTAACAGTTGGAAGTGGATATGAACAATAGACTGGTTCCAAATTGGGGAATGTGTACAACAAGACTGTATATTGTCACCCTCTTTATTTACCTTATTTGTACAGGACATCATGAGAAATGCCAGGCTGGATGAATCACAGGCTGGAATCCACACTGCGGGTGGAAATATCAACAACCTCAGATATGCAGATGTTACCACTTTAAGGGCAGAAACTGAGGAGGACCTAAAGAGCTGCTTGATGAGGGTGAAATAGGAGAGTGAAAAAGCTGGCTTGAAACTCAACATTTAAAAAAACTAAGATCATGGCACCTGCTCCCATCACTTGCATGACAAACAGAAGGAGAAAGTTTGGAAACAGTGACAGATTTTATCTTCGATTTCACTGCAGATCGTGACAGCAGCCATGAAGTTATAAGATGCTTGCTCCTAGGAAGGAAACCTATGACAAACTTACACAATGTATTTAAAAGCAGACATATCACTTGCCAACAAAGGTCCATAGAGTCAAAGCTATGGTATTTCCAGCAGTCATGGACAGATGTGAGAGTTGGACCGTAAGAAGACTGAGCACAAAACAATTCATGCTTTTGAACTGTCATGCTAGAGAAGACTCTTGAGAGACCTTTAGTCGACAGGAAGACTAACCAGTCAATCCTAAAGAAATCAACCCTGAATCTTCATTGGAAGGACTAATGTTGAAGCTAAAGCTAAAATACTTTGACCACTTGATACATAGTGATGACTCATTGGAAAAGACTCTAATGCTGTGAAAGATTGAGGGCAGGAGGAGAAGGGTGTGGCAGAGGATGAAATGGTTAGATTAACAACACTGACTCAATGGACATGAATTTGAGCAAACTCCAGGAGATAGTGGAGGACAAAGAGTTTCATGTTGATGAATGCTTTCAATCATTTGGACACAAACATGGGCATGAATATTACCTTTAATATTAATAATTCTTACATTGCATGTCCTGTGTTTCAATTGCTGTGTGGTTTTCTTTCATCTCTTGGTGGCCCAGGCTATAGGACAGGTGTAGGGCAGGTGATTCCAGGGGTCAGAGGAAGAGTATGAGGTTGGAAGCACAGCTTGGCATTACACACCCAGGTCAATAGGTCAGTGGTGTAGCTCCCTCCCATATATCTTAGGCATAGCCCTCCACAACAGGGGCATCTCCACCCTGGGATGAGTCTATGAAGGTGCCAGGAACACAGCATGGCCACTAGTAACCCTGGGGGGCTTGCTGAGATCTGGCAGGATACAGGCAGATGCATTTTGGTATCCCTGTGGATTATTGCTTCTGTCTTTGGGAGAACACCTGGCTTTGACTCTTGCAGGTGAAGCAGGAGGGTGAGCATGTGTGAAGCTACCGTCTGTGACAGGAGAGGAGAGAGAGGGCCGGCTCCAGTGGGCAGGGGAAGACACGGGTCCTTAATGCGATTTTATTTAAGAAGTCAGAACACCCCCATCCATCCATTTCCTGCCGTCAGCACACCAGCTTGGCAGCTGTTCCCCTCACCCTCTAGGCTGCTTTTCTGTGTCCTGGGACCAAGAATCTTCCAAGGACTCACTGCTCTTGAAAGTGAATGAAGAATGTCCGGATCTCCTTTGGGTAGATGGTAACCTCGGGGCCTCCTGGAGGTGGCGATGGATGACTGGAGTTGCCTGGAAGCAGAGAAGGTCTGTCCAGTATGGTCCCTGGACCACCTGCTTCCCCAGGTCCTCATGGCTTCCCCCTGGCAACATGGCTCCTGCTGCATCTGCGGCTCCCACTGTGACCACAGCCCTCAGCTGACCCACTCTTGACAGGACTCCACTCCTGGGGGGCCTCTTTCATCTCTGGCCTCCCCTGTGGGCACAGCAGAGTCAAGTCATGTACAGTGGGCTCTGGCCACACTTGGTCTCGTATCTCCACGTGTTGTGGCACCATGTATGTGCCTAGGAGCCTTCTCACTGAGGCCAAGAGGGGGCCCTGCCCTGGATCTCAATGGGCTCCATTGACAGGTCACACCCTGGGGTTTAGGCTTCCTCCTTGGGATTAAAGTGGTTCCTCCATTCATCCATCCACCTTACCATCCATCCGTCCATCCATCCTTCCATTCCTCAATCCAATTCCTCCACCCATCCATTGTCAATCCATCCAACCTCCAGTCATCCATCAAACATCCAACTTCTTTCCATCTCTCCTTTCATCCATCTACTCATGCATACATCATCCATCCATGTTTCTTCCTTCCATTCATCCTTCATCTATCCATTATCCAATTGTGTATCTTCCTGCATCCACACACTTTCCTTCCTTCCTTACATCCTTTTTATCCAAGTAAATATCCTTCATTCTATCAATCTATAATACTTGACTACTTGCCTACCGAAATCACTGCAGATGGTGATTGCAGCCATGAAATTAAAACATGCTCCTTGGAAGAAAGTCTGTGACCACACTAGACAACATATTAAAAATCAGAGACATTACTTTGCCAACAAAAGTCTGTCTGGTTTTTCCAGTGCTGATGTGAGAGTTGGACTTTAAAGAAAACTGAGCACCAAAGAATTGATACTTTTGAACTGCGGTGTTAGAGAAGGCTCTTGAGAGGCCCTTGGACCACAAGGAGGTCGAACCAGTCCATCCTAAAGGAGATCAGTCCTGAATATTCATTCAAAGGACTGATGCTGAAGAGAAACTCCAGTACTTTGGCCACCTGATGCAAAGGCCTGACTCACTGGGAAAGACCCTGATGCTGGGAAAGATTGAAGGGAGGGGGAGAAGGGGACGACAGAGATGAAATGGTTGGATGTCATCACCGACTCAATGGACATGAATTTGTATAAGCTCACGTGCAAGTCTTGGGTTCATCTAGACATGGGTGGGATGTGTGGTGTTGAACACACACATGCACACACACTCACTCAGCTACACACTCATGAACACACACACTGTGTGGCACCCTGGCAGGTGGAAAGTGAACTGAACCTTAGAGTCTACAACCTTCTTTGTTTGATTCAGGAAGGCTGAGACGCAGAGAAGGACAGCAAGCTCCAGGTCACACAGGCCTCAGGAGCAGAGCTGGGGTCTGGCTGGAGTTGAGGCTGGGGACCTGGGGCGGGGCCAAGACCAGGGCATCCGAACCTCTGTGGCGGTGAGGGTCCCGCGTGCTCCAGGTCCAGCGGTGCATCTCGCTCACGTTCCAGGTCCCTGTGAGCGAGCGCTCCTCCACGGACACCACGGAGCCCAGTCCCCGCAGCACAGACTGCAGGACAGAGCAAGGGAGGGGTGAGCACCCGGACCCCAGACCTGAGCAGAGACCCCTACGCAGCAGGGCGGCCGCACCAGGGCCCAGGGCCCAGCATCTCCCACATTCATTGCAGGGCAAGTCCCTGCAGGAGGAGGGGCAGCCCCATTTTACAGGTGAGGACCTGAGGCTGGGGGCAGCTGATGCCCCAGTGCTGGCTGATCAGCACGCCCAGCAGGTGGGGCTGCCCCAGGAAACACCCAGGCAACACCGTTTGTCTCCCGAGGGCGTGTCCTCCTGGGGGCCTGACTCTGTGATGTCGGAGCAGGACACGGGAGGGCAGGTTACCTGCAGGTTCACCGTCACAGGCTGAGACAGCACGGGGTCCTGGTCCACCTCATACAGGTGCTGGAGCCGCAGCAGGACACGGCGGAGGTCTGCCTTGGCCTTGTGCTTTCGGTCTTAGGGACAGAAGGAATGTGGCCATGAGGACAACAGTGTCTGCCTGGCACTTTACACTCTCACCTCCATTTCACTTCAACCTCCCTCGGAGGCAGCTAACACAGCCCCACTTTGCAGATGAGTCAAACAAGGCTCAGAGAGGGGCGGCCACTTGCCCAGACACACAGCTGATGTGCATCAAGAAGGAGCAGGGTGGAGGGGGGTGGTATTCCAAGCCAGGTGCAGCCAAAGCGACCTCCTTCCACCACCCACACTGAAGCTGGCACTGATTTTGTTCACTGGTGGGATCTTCACTGGGCTCATCCTTCCACCTCCCAGTTCTCTGGAAGATTCTCTCTGGCTTGGCCCCTGTGGAGGGTGGTACAGCCTCGTAACCCTGAAGATGAGGCACCATCGCAGAGTGGACGTGTCAGGTCATTGCCCCCAAGACCTAGGAAATGTGCTGTAATACAGCTTCCACCTGCTGGGTCCTTGGTGACCAAACGAGAAGACCCGTGCTGCCAACCCCACGGAGCACAGAAACGTAATGACCTGTGCTGTGTGAGGAAAGAGGGCATGTGGGCTCCTAGTCACTGCAGCCTAAGAGGTCTGCAATGTCTCTTGTCTCCATTCAGGTGCCGAGGTTATAGACTAGAGCTCTAGAGTCAGGGAAGGACTTCTCAGGAGACTTCTTGAGGACTCAAGCATCATGAGAGGCAGCAGGCCTCACGCCATCCACTGCGGCTCCCCTGATTCAGTCTCTACCGATGTCTCTCTAGGAGGACGGACTTGCCCAGCCCAGCCCCCTTCACCTCCTCTTTGGTACAAGCTGCCCCTGGAAGATGAATTCTCAGTGCCCTTAGCCTGACACATAACAGTAGAGGAGGCTCTACCACCACAGGTGAGGCTCCCCCATCTCACCTTCTGTGACAAGTGGGCAGGCTGTGGTTCAGTGATGGAATTCTCATGTCTACAGAGTTGAGCCACAGTTGGCAACACCCCTTTATCAGGGACAAAGATGACCCTTGGCCTCTGCCCTTTTCCACCTTCTCCTCATTTCACAGACACTTGGAGTGTGCCTGCCCTACGTGGGTCTCTTGGAGCAGGGCAGTGGCTGAGGCACAGTCAGTCCATCCTCTGAGAAGCATGGAGTTAAGGGAGCAGATAAGGGGAAGCAGCCCCAATATGAATAATGGGTTCCTGGCAGTTGCTACCTCCTCCAGGAAGCCCTCCCTGATNTTGTTCCACAGCCGCCGGTGGAGCATCACCTGCAGGGGACAACTGCCTGACCGGGCCTGCCTGGGCCCTGGGCTGCTTGTGAGTGACCAGAGGGGCCTCCTACCTCCACCTGCCCGTTCCCTTGGCTGGAGACGCCGTGCGCCTGCTCGGACAGCAGCACCAGCCTGCTTCGTCTGTCCTGGATGAAGGCTGACTGCACCATGGGGTAGTAATTCTGTGGACAGAAACATTGGCAGCCTGGTGGAGGGGGCAGTGGGCCAGGTCAGCCGGCAGGCCTGGGGTCTCCCTGTGGCCCCAGGCCGCCTCCTGCATGGATGCAGCAGCAGCCCAGGGTGGCATGGTAGACAGAGGGAGGGGCTCTGACTTGTGAGATGGACGCACTGGGATTCAAAGCCAGCTCCACTGCTTCCTGACCTTATGCCCTGGGGGACCCAGCCCGCCTCAGCCTCAGTTTCCCCATCTGTAAAATGTGCCCAAAAGGTCCCCCTGCTGCAGGGAGACAATGAGGCATCTATTCCAGTCCAGCCTGAGATGGCCCCCAGCCAGGGGTTCCCAAATAGAAAGGGGCTGGTGTCTGGGCTGGAAAGCACTCACACAACCTTTTGTTCTATTTGTTAGTTCTATCGGAGCAAGATGTCCTGGGCTGATTTCCCCGGATTCTCTGGAGCCCAGGCCACAGTGGGTGAGGACCAACTGCAGAGATGAAGGGACAGAAGTTCAAGGAAGACAGAGCAGGGAGGAACCTCACCCATTCTCAGGGCCCCCGTGGAAGGAGAGAGACAACTAACACAGATGGAGGCTCAGGAGATGGCCAGCATGCATCATCCCAGCTGGATCATCCCAGCACTCAGCACAGTTCTCTTCCTAGGAGAGCACCGCGGTCCAGGGACACCCAGGGACTCACCCGAGGTCACGCTGATGGAGGGAGAGGCCCTGGGAGCCAATTGATTTTGGAGTTCAGCCCCTGCTCAGCCCTCCCTGGCAGCCAGGCTGTGACTCAGCTCACAGCGGCAGAGGAGGGTCACACCCCATTCAGGCCTAGCCAGGTACCACTTGCTTAATCCTCAAGCAACCCCCAGAGGGTCACCCGTTGACTGAGGAGGACCCACGGTGCACACAGGAGACCTCAGGGACACGCCTCACACACGGCGGCCCCAGACTCTGAGACCAGGTCTGAACACGCCTGGTCCACAGCCCCTAGGGGCAGACACAGGGCAGTGGGGCTCTGGGAGATGCTCTAGACCTAAGGGGGCCCTCCTGCCTTCTGGAAAAAGGCCACCAGGACTAGATCTGTGGCTGCCACACCCCAGGACAGCATACCCGAGCGATGGTGTTCCACATGTCCTGCCGGTAGGGCCTGCGCTGCATCTGGTAGCCGTTGTTGTCCGAGTAGAGGACCTGCCCCGTGTTCAGGTCGGTGCTGGTCCTCAGAATGGCCTCACGGTTCAGCTCCAAGGGGCCCACCCGGTACTCCTGCTCTATGCGATGGCAGAGCAGCTCCCCGTCAGAGCTCTGGGGCCCGTGGGCCAGCCGGGAGTAGATGGCGAATGTGGGCTCCCTGTCGTTCACCTCCCTGGAGGAGAAGCAGCACAGGTCGATCAAGCCTGGGGAGCCTTCTGGACGCCCCGTCCTTCTCCTTTCTTCCTTTGTCTCCTTCTGTTTCCCTCCCTCCATCCTTCCTGCAGCCAGGAAGGATGCTTGGGAGCATCCTTGGGGATGCATCCAAGGGGAGCCTGCTTGGAATAGAGAACAGGAGGGGCCCTGTCCTCAAGACTCTGGGTACCCAGCCACGCCTGGGGGCTCTGTCTGTCCTGCTGATGGAAACACAAGAACTGCTCTCGTGCTGGTCACAGTCACCATGGGCCCCTGTCCCACCTCTGGACTCAGGTGCCCCCAAGGTGACACAGCGCAGGCCAGAGAGCAGGCCTGCAGAGACTGGAGCAGCTCATGACGTCATGGGGCTTTGGAGGAAGGACCGTGCGCCAAGCCCAGGTCCAGGGGCTGGGTGTCTGAAGCAAGGACGGGCCCCCATTGCCTCAGTCACCTGCCTGTGAGCACCTCCACATGCTGAGCACAGCCAAGGGGCTGCCCTCACCTGTAGAAGTCCTGCCGGATCTCAGTCACCAGCGGCCCCGCCACGATCTCCATCCTCACAGCCTCCCACGCAGGCTCTGCTCTACCATCGGGTGTAAACACATAATTGTCTGAAATGGGACCTCGATGGAAATCACTCTTCACGTGATACTCCATGAAACTCTGGGTCACCTGTACTGTTCGGTTACTCTGCCTGCACAGAGAGGAGAGAGAAAAGAGTGTCATCGTCATGGCCATCGCATCCTCATTCTGGGACCCAGGCTGATGGAGCCTCTGCAGCTGCCAGCCTGGGACAAGGCGGGGAGCACAAACAACCTCCCAAGTGCACCAGTGACATTTGTGAGCTCACTCAGTGAAGCTCATGCACTTGGTTTGGAGAAAAGAGGTATGGACCCACCAGAGCTCACATGATATCAGATCCTATCTCTTTCCTGGTTGTTGCTTTTGTTCAGTGGCTAAGTCATGTCCGAATCTTCTGACCCCACGCACTAAAGCACGCCAGGTTTACCTGTCCTTCACCATCTCCTGGAGTTTGCTCAAATTCATGTCCATTGAGTTGGTGATGCTCTCTAACCATCTCATCCCCTGCTGCCCCCTTCTCCTTTTGCCTTCCATCTTTCCCAGCATCAAGATCTTTTCCAGTTAATGGGCTCTTTGCATCACATTATCAAAGTATTCGAGCTTCAGTTAAGTTAAGCCTTTCCAATGAATATCAAGGGTTAATTTCCTTCAGGATTGACTGGTTTGATCTCCTTGCAGTCCAATGAACTCTCAAGAGTCTTCTGCAGTACCACACTTCAAAAACATCAATTCTTCAGCACTCAGTTTTCTTTATGGTCCAACTCTCAAACCCTCACAAGACTACTGCAAAGACCAAAGCTTTAAGTATATGGATATTTGTTGGTAAAGTGATATCTCTATTTTTTAATATACTGTGCAGATTTCACATAGCTTTTTTGCCATGGAACAAGGATCTTTAATTTCATGTGTTACATCACGACCTGCTGCAGTGATTTTTGGAGCCCAAGAAAATAAAATCTGTCACTCTCTCCATTTTTCCTGATTCTATTTGCCAAGACGTGATGGGACCTGATGCCATAATCTTAGTGTTTTGGATGTTGAATTGCAAGCCAACTTTTTCACTCTCCTCTCTCACCTTCATCAAGAGGCTCTTAGGTTCCTCTTCACTTTCTGCCTTTATAGTGTTATCATCTGCATATCTGAGATTGCTGATATTTCTCCAGGCAATCCAGATTCCCCCTTGTGATTAATTCAGCCTGGCATTTCACAGGATGTACTGTGCATATAAGTTAAGTAGTCAAAGTGACACTATACAGCCATGAGGATCTCCTTCCCCAATTTTGAACCAGTGGGTTATTCCACGTCCAGTTCTAACTGTTGCTTCTTGAGTTGTATACAGTTTTCTCATGAGATAGGTAAGGTGGTCTGGTGTTCCCATTTCTTTAAGAATTTTCCACAGTTTCTTTTGATCCAAATCCAAGGCATTAGTATAATTAATGAAGCAGAAATAGATGTTTTTCTGGAGTTCCCTTGCTTTTTCCCTGATCTGACATATGTTGGCAATTTGACCTCTGGTTCCTCTGCCTTTATAAATCCAGCTTCTACATCTGGAAGTTCTCAGTTCACATACCGCTGAAGCCTAGCTTAAAGGATTTTTAATACATCCTTGCCAGCATGTGAAATGAGAGCAACTGTACAGTAGTTGGAACATTCTCTAGCATTGCCCCTCTTTGGGATTGGGATGAAAGCTGACCTTTTACAGTCCTGTGGCCACTGCTGAGGTTTTCAAATTTGCTGCCACACTGAGTGCGGCACCACAGCAACATCATCTTCTGGGATTTTAAATGATCAGCTGGAATTCCATCACCTTCACATGGTTTGTTCGCAGTAATTCTTCCTAAGTTGAAAGAACTCTTACAACTCCACAATAAAGAACAGCCCAATTTTGAGATGGGCAAAGGATCTAAAATGACATTTCACCAGAGAAGATGCACAAATGGCCAAGAGGCCCATGAATAGATGCTCGACATCTATAGTCCATAGTGGAAGGAAATCAAAGCCGCAATGAGATAGCACATCACATACACCAGGGTAGCTATATGGAACTGGCCGTTAATACAAATGTAGGGGGGATATGGGGAAATCAGACCTTCATAGTTTTGGATAAGATTGCAAAATGGTGCAGCTGGGTGGGACACAGTCCAACAGTTTCTCAAAGTGTTAAACATAGAGTTTCCTGTGACCAAACAATTCCACTCTTAAGAAATGACCCAAGAGAAAGGAAAGCTTTTGTCAACACAAAATCTTGTACATGCATGTTCACAGTGAACTTATTCACAAGAGCCCCAGAATGAAAACCACCCACATGTCCATGAGGTGAGGACTGGATAAATGAACCAAGGAATATCTTTCAATGGAATATAAATCAGCCCCACAAAGGAACTGGGTCTCACTCACACTGCAATGTGAATGAAACTTGGAAACATGGTGCTGCATGAAAGAGTACATCATGCAAAATGTCAGGCTGGATGAACCACAAGCTGGAATCAAGATTGCCAGCAGAACAACAATCTGAGAATGCAGATGAAAGTGAAAGTGAAAACCCCTCAGTTGTGTCCAACTCTTTGCAACCCCATGTACTTTATAGTCCATGGAATTCTCCAGGCCAGAATCCTGGAGTGGGTAGTTTTTCCCTTCTCCAGGGGATCTTCCAAAACCAGAGACTGAACCCAGGTCTCCTGCATTTCAGGTGGATTCTTTACCAGCTGAGCCACAAGGGAAGCCCAAGAATACTGGAGTGAGTAGCCTATTCCTTCTCCAGGGCATCTTCCCGATTTAGGAATTGAACTTGGGTCTCCTGCATTGCAGGCGGATTCTTTACAAACTGACCTATCAGGGAAGCCCTACATAGGCAGATGATACCACTCTAATGGTAGAGAATGAAGAGGAACTAAAGACCCTTTTGATAAGGGTGAAAGACAAGAGTGAAAATGATGGCTTAAATCTGAACATTCAAAAAACTAAGGTTATGATATCTGTTCTCATCATGTCATGGCAAATAGAAGAGAGAAAAATGGCAACAGTGACAGACTTCATTTCTAACTCCAAAATCACTGCAGATGGTGACTGCAGCCAAGAAATTTAAATACACTTGTTCCTTGGAAGGAAAGCTATGACAAACCTAGACAGCATACTAAAAAAGCAGAGATATCACTTTACCGACAAAGGTCTGTATAGTCAAAGCTGTGGTTTTTCCAGTAGTCATGTAAAGATGGGAGGAGTGAACCATGAAGAAGTGGACCATAAAGCCATAGATTTGATGCTTTCAAATTGTGGTGCTTGGGAAGACTCTTGAGAGTCCCTTGGACTGCAAGGAGATCAAACCAGTCAATCCTAAGGGAAATCAACCCTGAATGTGCATTGGAAGGACTGATGCTAAAGTTGAAGCTTCAATACGTTGGCCATCTGATGAGAAGAGCAGACTCATTGGAAAAGACTCTGATGCTGAGAAAGATGGAGGGCAGGAGGAGGAGGGGGTGACGGAGGATGAGATGGTTGGATGGCATCCCTGACTCAATGGACATGAATACGAGCGAACTCCCGGAGGGAGTCGAGGACAGAGGAGCCTGGGTCGCTGCAATGGATAGGGTCACAAAGCCGGACACGCTGTAGTGACAGAACAACAACAACCGTGTGAAGGATACCAGGCGCCAAAGGGCCCCAGAGGGTGTGATTCCATTGAATGAAATGTCTAAACTAAGCAAGTCCAGAACCTCCACCAGCCAGGTAGCCCTGTGCGTATGCTCAGTGGCGTCTGACTTTGCAGCCCCAGGGACTCCAGCCTGCCAGGCTCCTTTGTCCCTGGGATTCTCCAGGCAAGATTACTGGGGTGGGTTGCCATGTCCTTCTTCAGGGGATCTTCCCAATCCAGGGATTGAACCCAGGTCTCTTGTATTGCAGCTGGATTCTTTACCGTCTGAGCCAGCAGGGAAGCCAGGTCCCTGAGGGGGGTGAAAAGAGGACATATGAAGATTCTCCTGGGGGTGATGCAAATGCCCTAACCTGAGTGTGGAGATGCCTGTACAACACTGCGATCACAGGGAACAGCACAGACGTGTACAGTGTAAAGTGATGGCTCGGACGGTATATGAATTTCAGCAACACCCTTGTCATATATAGAAGAACAAAGGCCCTCCTTGAGCAAAACTGCGCTGGGGTGTCTGTGCCCATGGAGGCTGCCTGCCTCAGGCCTTTGCACACGCGGGGCCTTCCCAGGAGCCACCGCCCCCTCCTCTGACCCACAGACTCCCTCCCACCCTTCCAGGTGTCACGCCTGGCTCCAGGGGCCTCATCCCCGCCAAGCCCACGCTGCTTTCACCACCCTTTCTCAGTCCCAACAGCCTCCCCTCTCTGACTCTGCAGCAGGCACTGGTAGTCCCTCCTGGGATGTGAGGTGGCCCATAGGAACACACTGTCCTCCCCTGAGCCAGGAGCAACTGAACACACCCAGGCTAAGGAAGGTGGACAGCGGGACATTAGCGCTTCCCCTGGGAAGCGCTGTCTGGGGTCCTGGCTTAGGGATGGGGTACCTGAGGGAGGGAAGAATGGGGTGGCAAGATGGAGCTGGCTGTTCAGGGGTGCTCCAGAAGGGGCATGGGGCCTGAGTGATGACGGCTCAAGCTGGCCTGCAGACTCCACCTTTCAAAGCATGACCCTGGGGGGCGGGTCACTCACAACCTGCTGAGTGACAGCCCATTCCTTCTGCTCCACCACACTCTCTGCAGTCAGCCCTGACTCTGTGCCTCATGCCCTCTCAAGAAGGACCTGTGGGCTGACTGGAGGAGGGAGCCCCATGGAGGGGGTCCAGGTCTGTGCTTGCAGAGTACTGACAGATGGCAGGACTGGGCTGCAGGTGACAGTCTTCCTCCCCTTCTCTCGCTGCCTCTTCCTTCTCTTTCCTTGCCTCACTCTGCCCACTGCCCGGCCCCCACCCCAGGCTCCTTGCCCCTCTCTCTGGCAAACTTCTGATCTTGTTAGGAGATCACATCGAAAAACAGAAGTGGGTGTGCAGCACAAAGAGCTGAAGAGGTGTCGAAACTGCCTATAATATGACCTCCCCATGGACAGGGCTGACTTCAAACTCTGGGGGCCTCTCCTGGGCTCTCTCCGCTGCCAATGAATAGCTGGTGGTGAGTGAACAGTTCAGTGGATGGGTGTGCGAGAGTCGATTCCTAGGCAGGTTGATAAGAAGTCTAGGGGTCCCCAAGAAGAGAGGGGTCTGGAATTGTCAAGGAGGGAGAAAGGACAAACTTTTTTCCCCCTTTACATTCCTTAGGATTATATAACAATAATATATCCTGCTTGAGGACAGTCTCTGGAAAAAAAAAAACCTTCTGGTTAATCCTATTATCTTAAAAATGTAAATTATGGGAGGAGGTCTAGTGAGGTCTTTACAACCTCCAGACATTCTTTTCACTCACTGTAATAACTAACTAGAGAGTATATAACTCCATGGCTAACACTAGCAAGGGGGTACTCTTTCTGCCCCCTTCTGATGCCTACGTCAGAAGCTTTCTCTATCTCCTTTATACTTTAATAACCTTATTACACAAAAGCTCTGAGCGATCAAGCCTCGTCTCTGGCCCCAGATTGAATTCTCCTCTGGAGGCCACGAATCCCAGCATCTTTTTGTGGTTCAGCAACAACGTTTCAGGTGGACCAACAGAAAGATGGATGGATGGATGATTGGGTGGATGGAAGATGGATGGATGACAGATGGAAACCAGGAAGGCTAGATGCATAGATAAGTGGTTGTGTGAGTGCGTAGTGGATGGGACTTTGGGTGAATAGATGGATTTCATGTGGCTCTCAGTTTTAAAAAGTTGATCTCATGATTAGTATATTTTCCCAGGGTGTGTTAGTAAATACCCCATTTTCTGAGGATTAAAATCCCTGGAAGGAACAGGTTCAAGAAAGGCTGTATGGACCTGGCTTAGATTCCCATAACTAGACATAAACATGGTAGCACTACAGGGAGCTTCACCACTATCACACCCTCGCCCTGCAGCTGAGGAAATGGAGACCCAGGTGGGGCATTACCTGCCCAGGCCCAGGGTCCTCCTGGCTTCAGAGGCAGCGATGACTGCACCTCACCTCTCCCAGATGCTGTGCATCAGGTTGGTGTCTGTGTCCAAGAACACGGTGTAGCAGTCATTCTCCACAGGCACCAGGTGGGAGCCCACTTGTCCGCCATGTCTCCTGAGTCTGTGTCCAAAATGCTGGGTGTTGGCCACGAAGGGTACAGTCTCCCCAGTGCCCTCCTGGGAACTCCTGCTGGGCCGGATGCTGTATTGCCGGTAGCTGAGCCCTGGGCTCATGGTCAGCACGTGCAGGTCATAGGCAGAGGGCATCTCCTTCGAACTCTGGACCTGGAAGACCTGAGGGACAAGATGAATGATGGATGTCAGGGATGGAAGATGCCTCAGTCTCCTTGGAAATCCTAGGCTTACACACCTGGTGGATGGAGTGCTTGCTCTGCACAGAGACAGCTGGGTCATCCATCACTGGGCTGAGCTGGTTTCCTCTCCTGCATCCTCCCTGCTCAACCAGGTCCAACCTCTTCTCCCTCCTTCCTCTTTCTCCATCATGGCTGCAAACCACCTGCCCTCTTCCCACACTCCCTCCTGTTCCTGCCTCTGAGCCACTGCTCATGCTCTTCCCTCGACCTCTTTGAAGGGGGCTCCTTTGTCTCTTAATCCTCCAATTTCCCCAAGGAAGGAGGTTTCCAGGTTGTCCTGCAGGCCTTTTTCCATCTCCATGTAATCTGATTCAGGGGAGTTAGATGAGGACACTATGTCCATGTAAGAGGTCCTTCACTCTCTAGGGAACAAATGTCATTTCTGAGTCCTGTGCGGAGGGTTTGGGGGACCTATGAAGAAACTCATGTTTCGCTTCACAGTCTCCAGCACGGCATTTCTCTGAGCTAAAGAAGACCCCTGTCACCACCTCATACCCCAAACCTGTCCTGAAGGATTTCCTCCACCACAATTGTCATCTGTCACTCCTACACTTTCTTATTTTCTTCTCTCCTGGATCCCCCACTAGAATAGAAGCGCCCTGAGAACAGGGATTATTGTCTACTTGATTATTAAAGTTTCTCCAGTGCCTAAAGCAAAGCCTGGCACATACTAGGTTTTCAGTAGTATTTAAGAGCATTTAGACTTAGTTGGTGGTGCCTATCGGTGGGGAGGGGGATGTTATGTGTTGGGCCTACTCAACCCAACACCCTCATGTCTCCCGACCACGACAGAGAGGAATCTTCCTTGTCTGTCTCAGCTAAGAATCACTGCCCTGCCTGCCAGGTAATCACCCCATGCCTTAACTGTCCATTTCTGCGTCTGCTCCTTGAATCCCAGGATGGCTCCAGAGTCCAGGGATGAGCACTCATCTGGGGCCAGGCCCAGAACAGACATCGGGAGTGTTTGCTGAATGGCGGACTGATGGCATTACCTCTCCCACCTCTTCAAGGAAGTGCTGGCTTGGTGACTGTAGGGTCACCTCTAGAACCAAGTCTAGCTCCAGGTCTGGGAAGGAACGACCACACAGGATTTGGGTGTCATAGCCAGGGCCTGCCCCTAAGACAGCACCTTCATAAAGATGCACAGTGAGGACTATCACTGGCTTCCCCATGAGACGTAGAAATTTACACAGGAATATATATATATATATGCCCATTGGGGAGCTGGACTGTGGGTGGATGGTACCATGTGATACCATGGAGGTGAAGATACCATGAAACCTTCCTTGGTGGGAACAGTAGAACAGACTTCTGGTCAATTCAGATGCCCAAAGCCCAGGGTCAGGCCCCTGGGTGGATCCACTGACCCTGATGGTGACTCACCCCCATGACACTGTCCTCACAGTGAGGGCAGCCTGTCACATGTTCCCTTTGGATGCCCACTTCTGGGGGCCCAGCCCAGAGCAGGGGCAGCCATGGGGCATGCACCATGGATGGGATGTCCCCCTTACCTGTGCAGGCACAGGGCGGCCGGACTCGTCTGTGACGCTGACCCTGGGGAAGTCCACAGTCAGGGTGATGATGGTGGTGACCGTCCAGGCCAGCGGGTTGTAGACCACCGCAAAGCGTCCCCCAGGCTCTGGGCCTGCAGACAGAGAACAGGCTCTACTGCTGGACCTGACCCACCCCTCACCCCTGGTGCCCCTCGGAACAAGGGAAGCTGAGGCAGGTGAGGGCAGCCCTGCAGAGTCCAGGGGGAAGGACAGACAGACAGACACATGGGCTCTTACGTGCAACCCCCTCCTCATCTGTTCCACCTGTGTCCTGGTTCCCAGGAGGGGTGGGCGGGGCATCCCCCCAGAGATGAGCTCCTCACTCATCTTTTCCTGTCATCCCACTTTACTGGTGAGGACACTCAGGTGCAGAGAGAAGGGTCAGCTGTCCAAGGTGACCCATGTCCTAAGGCCTGACTCCAAAGCTTGAGCGCTTGGCAATATACAGACAGAATTCTCTGGATCTTGAAGGGTCAGGGTCAATCACCAAGGTCAGCACTGGAGGTCTGTTTGGGATGAACCTGGGTTCTCTTTATGCTCCATCCTCCACCCCATGTGCCCCAGGATAAGACCGCGTCTGATGACTCCCGGATCCGTGGACACTGCACACACTGTCCAGTCCCTGGCATCTGCATGGGCAGCTCCCATGGCTGGGTGAGTTTCTGGGGTCTCCACCTCCACCTCACTTGGGGAGTCAGTCACCCTTCTGAGCTCATGGGAATAGCCAGCCCCACCAGGAAATGGAAGAACACAGTTCTAACTCCCTTACTGAGAAAGTCTTCCCCTCCCGACACAAGTCTGCATGGGCAGAGGCCCTGGATGCTGCACCCCCAGTTCCCAGACNCTCGAGTCAGACGTTCAGATATCCCGGTCCATCCCCTGATCCTCGGGCCTCTTCTCAGACCGGGGCAGACACCCGCCATAGCCCACTGTGCCCCCAGGGGCCTCGCCTACCTGAGTGGGCTGGAGACCTGTCCTGGATGATGGAGGCCATCAGCGTCTGCACCCCTTGCATCCCGCTGCTCAGGTGCTCCACAAACATGTCACCAACCTTGAGGGCGTGTGTCCCGGTGATGGCGTCGTGGTGCTGGACCTGGGCCCCCGCAGGAGCAGGACAAGAGTGGGGTCAGGCCGGCCTCTGCTCAGCACCTGCACACCCACTGGGCCCTGACTTCCCTTCCCTCTCAGCAGCTGCTGCTGGAGAAGCTGGGGGTTTCTCATCTGTAAAGTGGACCTGTAGTGACCAGGGACAGGGAGGTGTGCTGGGCTGGGAAGGGGGAAGCACACAGCCCAGGAGGGTCCAATCCTGTCCTGTCTCTGGGAGGCCTTGCGTTACCTCGGAGACCGCCCAGCGGAGCTGCTGGAGCTGCTGCAGGCCCCAGGCCGGGTCCAGGTTTGGGTGGGGAGCCAACAGCACGTGGCGTGTGAACATGGACTCCCCGGCATACAGCAGAGTGCTGGCTCGCCTCGCCAGCGCCTTGAGCCCGCTTCGGGAGGCGTAGAATCCAGTCCAGGCGTGATGCATGTCTAGGAGCAAAAGGCCAGGAGTTGGTGGGAGGGCATGCCCACGGAGGCCTCTGAGACCCATCTGGGAAATGCTGAGGAAGATGAGGTCAGAGATGGATCTGTCTGGGTTCCCAGGGACACAGCCTAGGCCTGGGGTGATCTCAGGGTTCCTGGTCCAGCCAGGTCAGCAGTGGTACGAGATCCCTGGAAGGCCTGGGCAGCTGGCAGGGTCAGGCTGGGCTGGGGCAGGCCTGCAGGGGCCCGAGTGCTGAAGGCCTGTGACGAGGACAAGAATCCCAGTGTGCACTGGGGTGCCTGGGATGCCCTGTGGGGAAGGACCCTGGAGGAGGGATGATGGCAGGACCCAGAGGGAAGGGCCCCAGAGGAGGGATGATGGCAGGACCCAGAGGAAAGGGCTGGAGTGTGGCAGCCCTTGTGTAGCTCTGAGGACAAAGGAGATCCTTCACTGGCCTGCATCTCAGTGGGTCCCTCTGGATGCCTAGCAGGAATGAATGGCAGGGAGGTGGGAGCTGAGATACCCCTGTAGCTACTTCTCTGACCCTGGACAGAGTTACAAGCAGGATTGGGAGGAGACATGCTCAGCACCTTAGGTCTGGGTTGTCTCTCAGCAAGTGTTTCACTTCCCACTCATCTCCACTCCTATGTCTGCTACAGACTGCGCTGTGCCTTCATTCCAAACCATCCTCTCTTGCTGAGTGATCCCAGTGAGGCCCTAGGGTTGGGCAAACTTGGCTGGGTGGTAGGGCCTGATCAGGGTCCCTCGGCTGCCCTGGCTCATGGGGACCTGGCCTCCATCTCCCCCCACTCCCACACCACTTAGCTCCTCTTTCTCTGCAAAGGGGAGCAGGACAACAGGATCCTTCAAGGATTCTGGCATTGTATGCAGTAAGGTTTCAGAAGTTCGATAATTTGGCCAATACCTTCCCCTGCGGATGCCCTGAGCAAGGCTGGACTGGGGTGTGGAGGGTGTTTCTGCCTCCCCAGCTGTCAGGGGGAGGCTGTGTGTGCATAATTCCTGTCTGGCTTGCAGATAGGGGAGCTGGATCTTCTACAGGGGTCCGCTTGGAGGTGGGTGGGGCTGGACCTGGAAGAGGCGCTGATGCTGGGCTTCCTTCAGGGCAATCAGGCCCTGGACTAGCTTCCTCACACGGAGTGCCCACACCGTATCCAGACGGCACCTGGCCTCCCGGGATGGAGATGCTGCTGTAACTGTCAACAGCTGCCTCTGCTGAGCCCTGGCTCTGGCCGAGGCACTAGGCTATGGGCTCTCCTCATCTCACTTCATTTTCACACTGGATGCTCTAACCAAGATGAACACCCCCACTTTCCTGACCCAGGACAGTTCCACGGGTGCACACAACCCGGCACAAGGCTCACTCCACGACCTTTCACCCTGAGGCTGTGCCGGCCACAGCCAAAACCGTCCTGGCCTCCAGGACACAGCCTTGTGGGAGACAAGGGCCCCCAATAATGACACTGTGGCAACGGGTGAAAAGTGGGGCACTGAGGGGGAGAGGAGACAACCAGTCTAGACTTCAGATCAGGAAAGGCTTCCTGGAGGAGGTGACATGCATGCCTGCATGCTCAGTCATGTCCAGCTCTGCCACCCCACAGACTGTAGCCCGCCAGGCTCCTCTGTCCATGGGATTTCCCAGGCAAGAATCCTGGAGTGGCTTGCCATTCCTCCTCTGAGGGATCTTCCCTACCCAGGGATCCAACCCGCATCCCCTGTATCTCCTACAGGTGGGTTCTTTACCACAAGCACCACCTGGGGATGAGAGGAGGCGACACTCCAGGACAATCTGGACTTTGCAGAAAGAGAAGGTGGGCGCGGGGCAGTCCTTCCGGCAGCACTGGAGTAGAAGGCTGCATGTGGCCAGCCTGAGAGGCTCTGGGAGCCCGGAATCCAGCAGAGTGTGGGGGGGTCAGGCAGGAGGGTCAGGGCCTGCAGCTCCCCCAGGGCCCCGAGCAGGCTCCAAGCAGAGGCCTGAGCAGGCGCCGCATTTGGGGGCCCCTTTCCTCCCTGGCGCCGAATCCCTCCACCCAGAGGCTCCTACCCGAGGAATAGGGCAGGAAGTCTCGCTGGTCTCGGACCGGCCAGGAGAGCTGGTGCGCGTGCACAGCCCGGAAGTAGCTGCCCAGCGTGGCGTACTCCATCGAGACGCCGTGCTTGTAGGTGAACTTGTTGACCTCCTCCATGACACGGTCCATGTTGGTGAACTGCAGCGAGGCGTTGAAGAACTGCCTGTCACAGCCCTGCAGCCGGGGGACAGAAGCAACGCCCTGCGCCTCTGGGTGCAGAGCCCGGCCTGCACGGGGAGGGCCCCTCTTCTCCCCAGGACCACCCGCCGCCCCCCGCGGCGGGCACGGCCCCGGGCCTGTGCTGTGCGCGTCCTCCTCTCTCTGTCCTGTTCAGGTGGTTCCCCAGCGCCGGCTGGTCTGACAGCTGCAGGTTTGTGCCCGTTCCAAACAGTCCCCCACTTCTCCACACTCGCCAGTCCACCTTTGGCCACCAAACATCTGATCTTCTCTATGAGACTGGTTTTATAAAATTCCACATAAGTGTGATGATTTAGGTTTTGGTCTTCTGTGTCTGACAGATTCCACCTCCTGACAATTTCTTTAATCCCAGCACTGCTCTTAGTTATCAAGAACCTTAATTATGATAAGATACTAAACAGGAATTAAAAACAGAATGGCTTGCTTGAATTTACTGACCTTAATCCCATGCTCAGAAAGATGTCAAAGTAGAAAAACTTGATCAATTCCTGGAAATATATAACCTGCCCAGTCTGAATGATGTGTAAATGGAAAGCCTGAACAAATGGATACTAGAACCAAACTGAACCAGGATCCAAATACTCCTCAAGAAAGCAAAGATCAGCATTCAGTGGCCATGTCTATCAAATGTTGAAGAAGAATTTATACAAATCCTTGTTTAGTCGGCTCAATCACTCAGTTGTGTCTGACTTTTTGAGACCCCATGGGCTGCAGCACACTAGGCTTCCCTGCCCATCACCAACTCCCAGACCTTACTCAAACTCATGCCATCCAGTTGGTGATGCCATTCAACCATCTCCTCCTCTGTCATCCCCTTCTCCTCCTGCCTTCAATTTTTCCCAGCATAAAGGTCTTTTCCAATGAGTCAGGACTTCGCATCAGGTGGCCAAAGTATTGGAGTTTCAGCTTCAGCATCAGTCCTTCCAATGAATATTCAGGACTGATTTCCTTTACAATTGACTGGTTTGATTTCCTTGCAGTCCAAGGGAATCTCAAGAGTTGTCTCCAACACTGCAGTTCAAAAGCATCAATTCAGTGTTCAGCCTTCTTTATGGTACAACACTCACATCCATACATGGCTACTGGAAAAACCATAGCTTTGACTAGATGAACCTTCGCTGGCAAAGGAATGTCTCTGCTTTTTAATATGCTTTCTGAGTTGGTGACTTTTCTTCCAAGAATCAAGCATCTTTTATTTTCATGGCTACAGTCACCATCTGCAGTGATTTTGGAGCCCAAGAAAATAAAGTTCTTCAGTGTTTCCATTGTTTCCCATCTGTTTGCCATGAAGTGATAGGACCGGCTGCCGTGATCTTAGTGTTTTGAATGTTGAGTTTTAAGCCAGCTTTTTCACTCTCCTTTTTCAGTTTCATCAAGAGGCTCCTCAATTCCTCTTCACTTCTTCCATAAGGGTGGTGCCATCTGCATATCTGAAGTTATTGGTATTTCTCCCAGCAATCTTGATTCCAGCTTGTGCTTCATCCAGCCTGGCATTTCGCATGATGTACTCTTCATATAAGTTAAAAGAGCAGGGTGACCATATATAGCCTTGATGCACTCCTTTCCAAATTTGGAACCAGTCTATTGTTCCATGACTGGTTCTAACTATTGCTCTTGACCTGCATACAAATTTCTCAGGAGGCAGGTAAGTTGGTCTGGTATTGCCATCAAGGATTCAGGAATACAAATCCTTGTTAGTCTATTTTACAAACTAGAAGGGGACTGAAAGGTTTCAATATAATTTTACAAGGCCAAGATTACCCTGACACCAAACCAGGCGAAGAAGCCTCCAAAAAAGAAAATTATAGCTGAATATATCCTAGGAACATAGATGCAAAAATCCTCAACAATATAATAACAAACAAAATCAACAATACTTGATGGCAATATTGCATCATCATAAAGCAGAATGCAAGGAATTTATTCCACAAATGCAAGGACCATTCAACATCCTCAAATCGATCAGTGAGAAAATGTGAGATAAAAATTATATGATCATCTCAACAGATGCGTAAAAGGCATAAGACAAAATTCAAATTCCATTTGTAATAAAAACTCTCCTCAAAGTGGGTGTGGATGAAAATTACCTCAATATACCAGAGGTCATATATGACAAGCAAACAGCCAACATCAACTCGTGGAATAAAAGGTAAAACTATTCCTGGGAGATCAGGAAAAAGACAAGGATGATCCCACTCACCACTTATTTAATGTGGTATTATAAATCAGACCTGCAGCAATTAGTAATGAAAAAGCATGGAAATCGGAACAGAAGAAATAAAATTCTCACTATTGGCTACTATAATGATGTCATAAAAATAGTGACTATAGAAAATGCTAGAGACAAATCTTAAAATTAATAAAAGCATTAAAGTTGAAGGATAAAAATATCAATAGACACAATCCCCTGCTGATTAGTGTTCCCACACACTAACAACAAATCATCAGAAAGACAAATGAAGGAAACAATCCTATTTATAGTTACATCAAAAAGGTAAAATACCTAAGAATACATTTCACGGAGCCGGTGACAGCCCTGTACACTAAAAACTAGATGACACTGATGATAGAAATGGAGGAAGATGCAAGTAAGTGGGAAAATATTCTGAGCTCATGACTGCAGGAGGAGGGCTGCATTTTCCAAAGCAATCTACAGATTCAATGCAAAACCTTTTAAGATTCCAATGACATTTTTCACAGAAATAGAACAAACAATCCTAAAATTTATGGGAACCACAAACACCATGAGTGGTCAGAGAAATCTTTAGTAAGAAGAACAAAACTAGAAGCATCGTACATCCTGATTTCATACTTCACTGCAAAGTCATAGCAATCTAAATACTCTGGTACCAACAAAAAAAGATACAGATAGATCAATGGGATAGAATAGAGAGCTCAGAAATAAAGCCATGTGTATATGGCAATTACATTAAAGCAAAAGGGCAAGAATATAAACTGGGGAAAGGACATCTTCTACCAGAAATGGTCTTATGAAAACTGAACATCCTCAGATGTAGAATGAGTTTAGATCACTACCTGACACTGTACTCAAACAGTTCAGTTCAGTTCAGTTCAGTCACTCAGTTGTGTCTGACTCTTTGTGACCCCTTGAACCGCAGCACACCAGGCCTCCCTGTCCATCACCAACTCCCAGAGTTTACCCAAACTCACGTCCATTGAGGTGGTGATGCCATTCAACCATCTCATCCTCTGTCATCCCCTTCTCCTCCTGCCCTCAATCTTTCCCAGCATCAGGGTCCTTTCAAATGAGTCAGTTCTTCATATCAGGTGGCCAAAGTAACGGAGTTTCAGCTTCAGTATCAGTCCTTCCACTGAACACCCAGGACTGATCTCCTTTAGGATGGACTGGTTGGATCTTACAGTCCAAGGGACTCTCAAGGGTCTTCTCCAACACCACAGTTCAAAAGCATCAATTCTTTGGCACTCAGCTTTCTTTACAGCCCAACTCTCACATCCATACATGGCCACTGGAAAAACCATAGCCTTGACCAGATGGACCTTTGTTGGCAAATGTCTCTGCTTTTTAATATGCTGTCTAGGTTGGTCATAACTTTCCTTCCAAGGAGTAAGCATCTTTTAATTTCATGGCTGCAATCACCATCTGCAGTGATTCTGAAGCCCAGAAAAATAAAGTCAGCCACTGTTTCCACTGTTTCCCCATCTATTTGCCATGTAGTGATGGGACTGGATGCCATGATCTTAGTTTTCTGAATGTTGAGCTTTAAGCCACTTTTTCACTCTCCTCTTTCACTTTCATCAAGAGGCTCTTTGGTTCTTCACTTTCTGCCATCAGGGTGGTGTCATCTGCATCTGAGGTTATTGAGTGTAAGTCAAGCTAATTAAAGATTTGATTGTAACTCCTGGAACTATAAGGGCTTCCAAAAGAAAACATACACTGTAAATTCCTTATCATCAATCTTGATGAATTTTTGGATTTGACATCACATGGAAAGAGAACACAGAGAATAATAAACAAGGAAGACTACATCAAACTGAAGGCTTCTTCTGCACAGCAAAGAAACTTCATAAATAAAGACAGCCTATGAAATGAAACATTTGCAAGTCATAAATCTGAAAAGGTATAATACACAAAATATAAAAAGAACACATATAGATCAGTAGTAATAATGAAAGCAATCCAGGTAAAAAATAGGCAGAGGTCCTGAGTAGACATTTGTCCAAGAAGACACAGAGATGCCAACAGACACAGGAAAAGATGTTGAACAAATCGAAACCACACAGAGGTACCACCTCACACCTATTGAACGGCTATCATCTAAGAGAAAAGAAACAACAAATGTATGTCAGGATAAGGAGAAATGTAAACATTCATGCACTGTTGATTTAAAAGTAAATTGTTCCAGCAATTATGGAAACCAGTGTGGAGGTTCTTCGAAAAGCTAATGATAGAGCTACCACGTGATTTAGTCATCCCACTTCTTTGTATTTATTCAAAGAAAACAAAAACACTAACTTGAAAAGACTTCTGCAACCCTATGTTCATTGCAGCTGTATTTATAATCAGCAAGAAATATGGAATCAACCTGTATGTGCATCAATGGATGAAGAGATCAAGAACATGTCATATATGTACACAGTATTATTCACCATAAAAAGAGGAAATCCTGCCATTTGCAACAGTGTGGATGGAACTTGAGGGCATTATGCTCAGGAAACAAGTCAGACAGAGAAAGATGAAATACTATATGGTCTCAGGTATATGTGAATTAAAGGAAAACAGAAAATATGTGGAAAATAAGTTCATGTATGGAGAGAACATATTGGTAGATCCAAAGACAGGGGCTGCAGTGTAGGCTAAATGCTTGACAGAGGACAGAAGTTATGTTTCCATCTGAGAAACAAGTTATGAGGATGTAATGTGCAGCATGGTGGCTGTGGGTGCATGCATGCACACATGCTTTCTTACTTGGGAGCTTTTCTGACGGCTCTGAGCACAAATTCCACTTTCTTAGCTGTCCTGCTAAGTATCTATGTGACGTCAGGAAGATTCCTTAACCTCTCTGGCTCTCGGTCCCTTATGAGTAGACTGCACCCAATAGGGCCTGCCCCTGTGCCCAGTGGGGCAGAGAAAATGGGGGAGACACATACATCACGTAGAACAGGGGTGCTCCATCCAGTTTGACTGTGACCACAATGGTGACTGGGTGTCGGGCACTCTCCCCCGGGGGTGTCTTTCCCATCTGACCTCAAATCCAGCCTATGGAGCAGGTCCTGTCATCATCCCCATTTCACAGATGAGGAAAGTGAGACTCATGTTCCCAGTCTCACAGCCCCTGAGTTGGGAGCCAGGATTCAGGCTGAGGCCTCTGCTCCCAGCTTTGAGAAGGGGAAAGGAGGGGAGGGCTGGGGAGGAGCTGGAGCCAGGGTGGGGGAGGGACTGCATTGGAGGCAGAGACTGTGGGGGTGATTCTGGGTGGGGGAGGAGCTGGTAGACTGGGTGAAGACTCGGGGCTCAGGGAAGGAGGACTGAGCTGGGGCTGGGATGGCCCACTGCCTGGATGGACACTGGCCTGATTAGAACAGGACACACAGTCGAGGGGTGGACCCAGGTGCTGGGGTGGGACACATGAGAGCAGTCCCTGCACAGAGTTGAGGAACCAGGGCCTGGGACCCCAACTTACCCAGGGCCAGAGGACGTGTGGTGTCCGGAACCAGGAGGCTCGAGTCAACACATTGTTCAACAGGAGACGGGTAAAGTTTGGGATGCTGTTCTCAGTGACAGGCATTTCCATGCTGGGGTACAGGCCATCCGTGGGTGGACCTGGGAAGACTGGTTCGCCATCCCAGTAAAATCCCTCGCTGAGAGAGAGACAAGTGTTAGGGATCTGCCCTGAGAAGGGCCGAAGCCTGAGGTCTAGGAGGGAGGACTCAGCCAGGCCAGAGCCTCTGGGACTGCAGACCCTGCTCGGGGCCTCTGTCTCCCATCAGAGGGCGGACAGGGCGGCGGTGGGCAGATGAGAGTTCTGTGGACAGAAGTCGTCACCTTTCAGCCCTGCGGGACCTTGGGCACGTGATCCTACAACCCTATTTTTCAGCTGTTCCGTGGAGCCCACCACCTCTGGGCCCCACTTCCTCCACGTGGATCAGGAGCAATTTGTGCGATCACTCATTCTTTAGATTATCTCTGTGCCCTTCAATTCTGATTCCCAGGACCCCGAGCAGGGCTGGGGCCAGAATGAGGCAAGTGAGACACTCACCTTCACACAGAACTTCACGCTTGTAAAAATCTCAGTAACAATATAATGCAATTTTCACACTTTTCAAATAAAAAATAATGCAACAAACGTCATGATGAACAGAATCATAAAATTCTATATAAAGACAGAGCAGTGTTACAAAATCCTCAGACTCAGGGAGACTGAGGACATGGAGGCTTTGGTGCTGTGTACTGAGTCCAGTGCTGCTGCCCTAAGGCTGCTACCGCAGGACCTTGGCTGGGTGTCCGGGCCTCAGCTGTTCTTTCTGTAAGATGGGTGCTCAGTGCGTGCCCTCAGGGCTGGCCATGAGGGGCGTGGCTAAGCTGGTCATGATGCCCCAGGTACCCTGAATCCCTCCTGCATCCAGCACCGTTCACTCGGGGCAGGTCTGTGCACAGCCTGTTCCTCTGGAGACCCAGGGGGAAGAATCCCTACCCGACCCTGCCTAAGGGGGAGGGGACTCAGAGCAGCAGGGTCCCAGCTGGGCTTGCAGGAAGAGAGGGCCACTCGTGCTGGGGGCACAGCAGGGCAAAGTCAGGCCTGGGACACCACATGTCTTAGGCAGCCGAGAGCCCCCCGAATGCTCTGCAGAGCAGCAGGGGCTCTAAGATGCAGGGGGTCAGAGGGGGAGAGGCAGAGGCAGTAGACATCAGTGGATGCCACTCACGACTCACCTGGTTATACTGCATGGCCTCCTTCAGGTCGTAGTCGATCCTGGAGATGACATGGGCATTGAAGCCCGCCAGGGCAAAGAGGGTGGGGGTCGTGGCGGATGCCCCAAATGGGTCCACCTGCCAGGAGAACTGCGGCCGGAACCCAAATGTTTCATAGAGAAACGCGTGACCTTCTGCAAAGAGATCAGCCTCCTCAGTGACTGAAGGGTGGCCCCTCACCCCCTCAAATTTAAGAGCTGGAGCTGACTGTGGCTCAGATCATCAGCTCCTTATTGCAACATTCAGTCTCAAATTGAAGAAAATAGGGAAAACCACTAGGCCACTCAGGTATGACCTAAATCAAATCCCTTATGATTATACGGTGGAGGTGAGGAATAGATTAAACGGAGTAGATCTGGTAGGCAGCATGTCTGATGAACTACGCATAGAGGTCCATAGCATTGCACAGGAGTGGCAACTAGAACCATTCCCAAGAAAAATAAATGCCAGAAGGCAAAGTGGTTGTCTGAACAGGCCTTACAGATAGCTGAGAAAAGAAGAGAAGCGAAAGGCAAAGGAGAAAGATATAGCCAAGTGAATGCAGAGTTCCAGAGAACAGCAAGGTGAGAGAAGAAATCCTCTTAAGTGAACCATGCAAAGAAATTGAGGAAAACAATAGAATGGGAAAGACTAGCGATCTCTTCAAGAAAATGGGAGATGCCAGAGAACATTTCATGCAAAGATGGGTACAACAAAGGACAAAAACAGCAAGGACCTAACCTAACAGAAGCAGAAGAGACTTAAAAAAAGTGGCAAGAATATACAGAAGAACTGTATGAAACAGCTTTTAATGACCCAGCTAATCAGGGTGCTGTGATCACTCACCTAGAGGCAGACATCCTGGAGTGTGAAGTCCAGTGGGCCTTAGGAAGCATTACTGGAAACAAAGCTAGTGGAGGTGATGGAACTCCAGCTGATCTATTTATAACCCTAAAAGTTGATGGTATTAAAGTGTTGCACTCATGCCAGCAAATTTTGGAAAACTCAGCAGTGGCCACAGGATTGGAAAAGGTCAGTTTTCATTGCATTCCCAAAGAAAGGCAATGCAGAAAAATGTTCAAATTACCGTCCACCTGCACTCTTTTCACATGCTAGCAAGATTGTGCTCAAAATCCTTCAAGCTAGGCTTCAGCGGTACGTGAATCAAGAACTTCCAGATGTACAAACTGGATTTTAAAAAGGCAGAGGAACCAGAGACCAAATTGCAACATATGCTGGATCACAGAAAAAACCAAGGGAATTAAAAAAAAAAATCTGCTTCATTGACTACACTAAAACCTTTGACTGTGTGGATCAGAAAAAAATGTGGAATATTCTTAATGAGATGGCAATACCAGACCACATTACCTGCCTCCTGAGAAACCTGTATGCATGACAAGTGGCAACAGTTAGAACTGGACATGGAACAAGGGACTGGTTCTAAATTGGGAAAGGAATGCAGCAAGGCTGCTGGGAAAACCGCCATCCCCCCATAGAGATATTCTATCTAAAATGAAGTCTCAAGAGTGTTTATCAAGACCTAGGAGATGAAAACACAGTGACTCAAAACCTATGGGATGCAGTAAAAGCAGTGCTAAGAGGGAGGTTTATACCAATACAAGCCTACCTCAAGGAACAAGAGAACCATCAAATAAACAATCTAAGTTTGTACCTGAAGCAACTGGAAGAGAACAAAAGACCCCCAAAGGTAGTAGAAGGAAAGAAATCATAAACATCAGAGCAGATAAATGAAAAAGAAATGAAATAGACACTAGCAAAGATCAATACAGGAAAAAGCTGGTTCTTGGAGAAGCTAACCAAAATTGAGAAATCATTAACCAGATTCATCCAGAAAAATAGGGAGAAGACTCAAATCAATAAAATTGGAAATGAAAAAGAAGTTAGAATAGAGAACACAGAAATACAAAGGATCATAAGAGACAAATATGAGGATCTATATGCCAATCAAATGGACAACCTGGAAGAAATGGACAAATTCTTAGAAAAACATTACTTTCCATAATTGAACCAGAAAGAAATAGCAAATATGAACAGGTTAGTCACAAGCATAGATTCACCAAACTCTATTCACAAAATCTTCCAACAGACAAACACTCAGGGCAAGATAGATTCACAGGTGAATTCCACCAAATTCACAAAATTATCAAAATTCTCTAATTTTGCAAACTGCCGATACCTATCCTGCTCAAACTCTTCCAGAAAATTGCAGAGGAAAAAATCCTCCCAGTTCATTCTATGTGGCCACCATCATTGGGATGTCAAAACCAGACAAAGATGCCACAAAAAAGAAAATTACATGCCAATATCTCTGGTGAACATAGAGGCAAAAATACTAAATAAAATTCTAGCCAACTGAATCCAACAACACATTAAAAAGATCATACATCTTGATAAAGTAGACTTTATCCCAGGCATGCAAGGATTCTCCAATATACACAATATCACCATCACAAGATACACAAATCATTCAACATGACACACAATCTTAACAAACTGAGTGATAAAAGCCATATGATCATCTCAGTAGATTAAGAGAAAGTTTTTGAGAAAATTCTACACTCATTTATGATAAAAGCTCTCCAGACAGTAGGCATAGAAGGAGCATAACTCACATAATAAAGGCCATATATGACAAATCCTTAGCAAACATTATTCTCAACAGTGAGAAACTGAAGGTATTTCCTCTAAGATGAGGAATAAGACAAGTGTGCCTACTCTTGTCAGTATTATTCAACGTGGTTTGGGAAGTCTTAGCCACAGCCATCTGAGAAGAAAAAAAAAAAAAAAGCAATCCATAGAGGAGATGAATTAAAATTCTCACTGTTTGCTGGTAGCACGATACTATACAGAGAAAACTCTAAAGATGCCACCAGAAAATTACTTGAGGGAATCAATGAAGATAGTAAAGTTAGGGGATATGAAATTAACAAACTGAAATCCCTTGCATTCTTATGCTGTAATAATGAAAGACACATGCACCCCAGTGTTCACTGCACCATTGTTTGCAATAGCTAGGGTATGGAAGCGGCCTAGATATCTGTCGACATGGATAAAGAAATTGTGACACATATATGCAATGGAATATTACTCAGTAATAAAAGGAACACATTTGGAGGAAAGGAAAGCCCAATGCCATCATGATGTCCTACACACAGTCCCTCTTTAGTGGAGGGCCGATGGGTAGAGCTCAGCCCACGCTGCAGTCAATCCTGGCTCATCCACTGACTCTTTGTCCTTCTTGTAGCCTCAGTCTCAGTGTCTCTTCTGCAAAGGAGTCTGAGAGCATGATGCCCTCTGCACACCCTGCCTTTAGTGGTGAGTGAGGTGATATGTGTAGAGAACACTTGTTAAATGGAGAGGAATGGCCTGTAAGTGGCCAGTGTGTGTGGAGATGGAGGGGATGGTGCTGATGGTGGCAGTGGCACTGGTGTTGGAGGTGGTCCAGGTGTAGATAGTGATGGTGGGGGCAATGGTTGTGATGGTGATGGTGATGATGTTGGAGGTGCTGGTGTCAGAAGTGATGCAATGACGTGCTGGGCTGCTAGTGGTGGTGCTGGTTCTGGTACTGGCGGGTGAGGTGATGGCAGAGATGGCATCTGACCTTTACTGATCATTTACTAGGGACCCACACGCTGTACACTAGGTGCTCTGTTGGAATCATCCCAATTTAATCCTGGTAACACCCCTTTGAGGTGGATCTTACATCACTATCAAGCACTTTTCCAGAGGAGGGAACTGAGGCCTAATGAGGTTGCATCACTTGCCCAGGGTCACAGGGCTGGGAAGGAGCAGAGTCAGGAGACAGCCAGGCCGGCTGGTCTAGAGTCCACACCCTTATCCCCTGCACTCAGGCACAGACATGGACGCAGTACCGGCAATCAGTGTTGACTGGTCGGTCTCCTGCTGAGAGGGGAAGATGGAGCCCAGGACGAGGGCTCAGACTCCCAGTCCCAGCCCCATGGAGGCCCCAGGGACCCTGGTCTGGGGAAGGGTAATCGAACCTGTGAGCTGGAGGATCTGGTCATCAAAGTGGGTCACAGCCTCGTCGTGCATGACCTGGCCTCCAAGGACAAACTCCAGGCGACCTTCAGCCACAAGCTGGTGGACCTTGGCATGGTGGGCAGAGAGAAAAGGCCAGGTTATATCCCCTGGGCTGAGCCAGTTGTGTTTTCTGGGCACATGCCTATAGTATCTCATGGTCCTTCCTTCAAACTCCTCAGCCTCATTTATTCTGCAAATAGCAGGACACTGTCTGTCCTGGTCAGCACTGTGTCCATCTCTGAGAACAGGACCTGGCCCTGGATGCTGCTTCGTCAGGCATATATATAGGTACATATGTTCACAACTTTTGCTTTTGAATGATGTCAAAATATGGAAAACTTGCAGGAATTGTACCCAAAAACTCCCATAAATCATTCTCCAGATTATCTCATTGCTAATATTTTTTACCTCTTTCTGTTAACACTCCCCCATGTCATTACACACATTATTCTTTTTCTAAACCATTTGAAAGCACAAGTTAGCAATTGCATGCCTTTATCTGAATAGTTCAGGTCATTTTTGAGAAACAAAGATCATTACAACTGCTATATAATGATCAAAACCCAGGCTATTAGACATTAGTAACGAGTGCGTGTGTTCATACTCAGTTTCTTGGAATGTCCAACTCTTTGTGACCCCATGGACTGTGCCCCACCAGGCTCCTCTGTCCATGAGCTTCTCCAGGCAAGAATACTGGAGTTTATCCTTTAATTTACAACACTTCCTGAGACTTTCTGTTTCATAATTGTTATGCTTTCAGGCTAGTACATTTGTAGCATGCTCTTCAAATTGCATTTGTCACATGATTGCCTAACAAATATTTTAGAATACAGGAATGAAGGAAATTTCCTGGGTCTTCAGTGTGTAGGATGCAGTTTCAGTTTCGAGGATGTGAGTTTGATCCCTTCTTGGGCTTCCCTGGTGTTTCAGATGGTGGGGAATCTGTCTACAATGCAGGAGACTCTGGTTTGATCCCTGGGTCAGGAAGATTCCTGGAGAAGGGAACAGCTATCCACTCAAGTATTTGTACCCAGAGAATTCCATGTACATAGAAAACTGGCAGGTTACAGTCCATGAGATGGCAAGGAGTTGGACGTGACTAAGTTACTTTCCTTTTTACTTTAACTAGGGAGCTAACAACGCACAGACCTCATGGTGCAAACAATAAAACACATCCATCAAAGAAGGAAAGAATAGAAGCATACAGTCAAGAACTGTGACAATGAGCACATCATGCTCTTGGGAGACTGTGGATTGTATTTTATCTGAAAGTACTCTTTTTGCAGTTCATTCATTTGAGAAATGTGGAATGACACCTACCATGTACTGTTTTAAATCTGTACCTGCTTTATTATGGGCACCATTCAGACACTGGGATTCAGTCCAAACAACTCAGAGATAATTGCTAATTTCCAGGGACACATAACTGAATTTCCTGGTTTAGGCTTAATGAGGTTGCATCACTTGCCCAGTTTCACAGGGTTGGGAGTTAGCAGAGTCAGGACACAGCTGAGCTGGCTGGTAAGAATCCACACCTTTATCCCCTACACTCAGGCACACACATGGACGCAGCACCAGCAATCACAGTTTTGATGGTCACAGTCTCCTGCTGAGGGTGGAAGATGGAGCCCAGGACGAGGGCTCGGATACCCAGTCCCAGCCCCATGGAGGCCACAGGGACCCTGGTCTGGGGAAGGGTAATCAAACCTGTGAGCTGGAGGATCTGGTCATCAAAGTGGGTCACAGCCTCGTCGTGCATGACCTGGCCTCCGAGGACAAACTCCAGGCGACCTTCAGCCACAAGCTGGTGGACCTTGGCATGGTGGGCAGAGAGAAAAGGCCAGGTTACACCTCCCAGGCTGAACCATTTATGTTTGTTGGTCTCATGTCTACTGCATCTCACGGTCCTTCCTTCACAGTCCTCAGCCTCATTTATTCTGCAAATAGCAGGACGCTGTCTGTCCTGGTCATGACTGTATCCAGCTCTGAGAACAGCACCTGGCCATGCCTGCTGCTTCATCAGGCATATATACAGGTATATATGTTCACAACTTTTGTTTTGGAATAATTTCAGACTTATGAAAGCCTTGCAAGGATTGTAAAAAAGCTCGCTTCCCATAAATCATTCCACAGATTGTTGTTTCTCAGTTGATCAGTTATCTCTGACCCTTTGCAACCCCTTGGACTGAAGCACTCCAGGCTTCCCTGTCATTCACTATCTCCCAGAGTTTGCTCAATTGGATGTCAACTGAGTTGGTGATGCCATCTAAGTGCCTTATCCTCTGTCATCCCATTCTCCTCCTGCCTTCAATCTTACCCTGCATGAAGGTCCTTTCCAATGAGTTGGTTCTTCACGTCAGGTGGCCAAAGAACTGGAGTTTCAGCTTCCCCAGATTATCTCACTGTTAATATTGTTCACCTATTTCCTCAACACTATTTACTATTTTAATACAAAATATGGTTTACTTAAACCAATTCAAAGTAAATGTTAGCAGATGCATGCCTTTAATTCCATAGTTCAGTTAGTGTTGAGCAAGAAGATCATTATAACCGTTTTATAATTAACTAAATCAGGAATTTAACATTAATCATGCTACCAGTGAATTCACATGCAGCTGAAGAGATCAGGCCCTACCTGTGATCCCATGGAGATGGGGAGAGGACTTGGCCCCAGACTGCCCCTGCAAAGACCATGTCCTCTGACCCCTGTGGTACAGAGTTAATCAGGACCAGGAGGCTATTCCACAGGGACCCTTGCACCCCTGGATGTTCACCGGCTCCAGTGTCCGTGGGAGCCACGCAGACTCATAAATGAGGTCAGAGGGTGTGAACACAGGGTCACCCTGCATTGCCCAGTGTGAAAGGTCACCCCATTCTCACCAGCTGAATGCCTGGCTGGACTGCCAGAGCTGCAACTTTTCAGGAGGAACCAGAAAGGCAGGATCAAACACAACCCTGTCCCCTGGGCGTGGGGCTGACCACAAACCTGTACTAAAGGGACCCTGGGCACAGCTCAGCCGGGTTGGGGCCTCCTGGTCTATGCAGCCCTGCCCTGGCCACATAGAGCACAACCCAGGAGCTTCCTGAAGGGTCGTCCCCGGACCCCCAGGGCACCCGCTCTCAGCTGCCTGGTGAGGACCCCCTGAGCGCAGCGTTACCTGGCCTTTCTGCCTGTCCGAGGCGACGCCATCCCACCAGAGCCGGAAATACTCCTGCTCCACAGCGATGAACCTGCGCTTCTTCTCAAGGGTCAGCTCCTCCACCACGGAGTTGTAGACGTTGGTGACATAAGCCTGCATGCTCTCCTGGGGTGGGGAGGGGGAGAGACCATCACTCCAGCCCCGTGGGGGAAACCAGAGGGCGTGAACCAGGGACCGAGGAGGAACGTGCAGGGAGACACGGTGTCCGGGGTCCACTGGCACTCCCGCCCAGCCTGCCCTAGACTCCCCCTCCTCCTGAAACAAGGGAGCCCGGTGTCCACTCTGTGCTGGATAGGCGGTGAGCCCTGCTCTGAGAGAAGGACCCGGGCGGACCCCCTTAGATGGGAGCCTGCCCCTGAGGAGAGTCGTGATGAGACAGAAACTCTATGTAACAGAGGAATGTGCCAGTCCAGCCAAGGCTCAGGCCAGCTTCCCAAAGGGGTGTGGTGACTACTCCTGCCTTGGAGGACAGTTCAGTTGACAACAGGGCCCTGGGATTGAGGTCCAGAGACTCAGATGGGCTTTCTTGGGATGAAGCGATTGGGGAAGTGTGTGTCAAGGGCTGAGGCTGAGAGCAGCTGACCCCCCGAGTCGTCTCTCTGGAATCTATCTCCTCCCCCGAGGCTGGGAGGCCCCAGGATGGAGCTGAGCCTGCTCCCATCTGGGTCAGGCTGACTCACAGTGGTGCCCAGATGCTGATAAAGGAATGCAAGGAGCCCTGGGCAGGGTGTTAGCGGGCAAGGTGGCAATGTCTGCTGACTTGGGCAGCACCCCACCCTGGGCCTCAGTGTCCCTTCTGTGAACTGGGGGTGACGAGCCTGCTTCCCACATGTCAGCAGTTCCACACACAGGTGTGTGACCACCCACAGACGCTGCCCAGTGAGCCGGGACCAGACTCAACACTCAGCCTCAGGGCCTCTTGCTGTCTGACTCCCTTTAAAATGAGCGACTCACTTATTAACGTCTCATGGAAAGTATTGTATCCATGATCACAGAGTGGTCCTATTCATTTGTTTCCTTCCTCCTTCCAGAAAGAGCTTGCACAGGCCTGGGTAATCATTTCAGTTACCTGCACTGGAAACTTATGGAAATCAGTCTTGCCCTCTTTTCCTCGGCCCTGGTGCATTCATTCACTCAGTGGAATTATGAAGAACACCTTGCACACATTGCAGGCTGGGAACACATTCTCACCCCATCCTACAGCCAGTCTATGTTAGTTGCTTCGTCATGTCCAACTATTTGTGACCCCATGGACTGTAGCCCACCAGGCTCCTCTGTCCTTGGAATTCTCCAGGCAAGACTACTTGAGTGGGTTACCGTTTCCTTCTCCAGGGGATCTTCCTGACCCAGAGATCGACTCAGGTTGCCTGCCTTGTAGGCAGATTCTTTGCTATCTGAGCCACCAGGGAAGCCGACATCCAGTCAAGTAGCCAAGTACAGGTGGGCCCAAGGCCGAGACCCCTGATGGCAGAGACCCAGGACTCAAACCCACTCTGGAGTCCAGATGGAAAAAGAACCGCACCTTCAAGAGGTGTGCAGGGGTCACTCGGGGCACCTACCTGCACGGTGTGCAGCCAGCCCACGTCCATGTGGCTGTGCGGAACCACGAATACCCTCAGTCGGGGCTCAGAAGGAGCCCCCAGGGGCCACATCAGGCCCAACTGCAGGAGCAGAGGCAGCCAGCCCCGCGGCTCCATCTCCTCGGCCAGCACAGGGGCTGGAGGACGTCTGCCTGCCTGCGGGCCCCGCCTCCTGCCAGCCTACGGGGTCACCACCCTTTGGTGGATGCAGCGGGATGGAGACCAGGAGTGACGCCCACACAGAGGCTGTCACCTGAGCGGTGCAGGCGGGGGCCCTCACTGCCTTGCAGCACTCTGCTCCATCTGGGGTTTCCTGACCATCCGCCTTTAGCCAAACCCCAAACACCACCTCCCCAGGGAAGCCTGCCAGCTTCCCTCTGGCTCCCCTCACCCCAGTCCTCATGCCCCTTCCCTAGGCCTCTCCAGTATTTCCCACTGGGCATCTCACCCATCCCTGCCCCCACCCACTGGACTGGCTCCTTCACACTGCCCTGCAAATGGTAACTCTGTGGAGCCTGCCACCACCAGGAGGCCTGCCCTGATACACTCTCCTTCACATGAAACCCCCAGTCTGAGCCTTGCAGTAGAAATTGTAACCTCTCTTTTAAGGAGGAATGTTGGCTTTCACAAATAGGACCTGATGACCTGAGGTTGCACAGCTAGTGTAGGAGCAAGAAGGCCTGAAATGTTCAGAATTAGGTCTGGATCAGGGATAGTGACCTTGGCAAGATGCCTAAGCTGTCTGCATCTCAGGAGTCCATCTGTAAAATGGGACACACATAGATTGCTGGGGACCTGAGAGGGAATTCACAGGAGATGACAACAGCGGGGTCTCCTTCCTGGAGGATGGCTGGCATGGTGGTGCAGCCTGCAGGGGCCAGAGTGTTGCCTGGGGGTCTCTGTAACCCTGACTTGGAGCAGGGGTCTGGGAGTGGGCTCCTCTCTCTGACCTCCAAATGCCTGAGCAGCTCTTTCTGTGGCTGCCAGACTGAGACTTACTCTCCCTTCTGGCCACCTCCCCCAGCAAATACATCTGGAGAACACAGTCTCCAAGCAGGTCTTTCTCCTTTCTGTCTCATCCCCTCCCTGGTACCCACCTGACCTGACTAGATCCTGACTTCGTCCTATTGAGTACAGGACCTGCGTCTTCTCCCTTTGTAGCTGGTGAACTTGTGACTGTCTCGGAACCATAGAATGTAGAAAAGATGGCCTGTGTGACTTGGAGGTTGTCAGAAGTGGCAAGACACAGCTTGCCTTGGTCCCTGGTGCGCTCATGTGTGTATCCCAGAGCGGCCGGCTGTGGGGACGCCCTAACCAGGCCCTGTGGGAAGGGGCCGTGGAGCAGCCCTAGGATCCCTTCAAGGGGAGGGGCAGGCCAGCCCCGCTGCTCCAGCCCCCGCCCCGCGCGCCTGCACCCACCTGGTGACGTCACCCACGTCCCACAGGTGTCCACTCCCGTCCCTTCCCCCAGGCCTGTGCATTAGCTGTTCTTGTCGTAGATCATGCGGGATGTGGAAGATACTCATGTCCCTACCTACCATCCATCTCCTTTCACCTCCAGCATGCACCTGTGCTGGTATGACGCTGACCTGGGGGTACCCAGAGCCTCCTTCCTGAGGGCCTGACCCTTGGTCAGCATGCCTTCCGGAGCCACAGCCCCTACCTGTCCATTCAGCATCCAGGGCAGGCAGAGAAGACCAGAGATGCCCACGTGAGCTCCAAACCGAGTCTTCTCAGCCTCCTTGTGCTCAGCCGACCTGACCTAGCTCCTCACATGGTCTGGGTCAGCTTTCCCCGCTACACTGCTGACTCTTGTCTGCTGGCCTCTTGGCAGAACTAACCCATAGTGACCAGGCCAGCAGGACCTTCTCCTTGGGTGGAAGCCCTCCCACTTTGAATGCCCAGACCTCTGAACCTGCAGTGTCCAGAGTCGTGTATATGAGGTTCCAATTCCCAAGTAGGTCTCTGGGAGTGATGACAAATGGGCCCCACCTGTTTCCTTCCCACATGTTCTACCCACTGGGAACACCAGGCTCTGGTCATTGGTTTGGGGTGCACATGCCTCCTAGAGGGTGGTGCCGCAGTGTCACAGGTGCCATCTCCAAGCTCCTGCACAACAGAACCTCCACTGGTTGCTCCGTTCCTCTCTCAGGCCGGCAGTTCACAATCAGAGCAGTAGTCCTCACGGTTGTGTACCCACTGCCACACCTCCTTACTCGAGGGCATGCCTTGACCTGAGGTCACTATGTCTTCTCTTGGATTGCTATCCCTGGAGGAACCAGCCACCACATCAGGATATTCAAGCGGCCTTGGAAGAGGTCACTTTGTTGTTCAGTCGCTCAGTCATGTCCAACTCTTTGTGACCCCGTGGACTGCAGCACACCAGGGTTTCCTGTCCTTCTCTATCTCCCTGAGTTTTCTCAAACTGATGATGTCCATTGAGTCAGTGATGCCATCCATCCATCTCATCCTCTGTCATCCCCTTCTCCTTCCACCTTCAATCTTTCCCAGCATCAGGGTCTTTTCCAATGAGTCAGCTCTTCACATAATGTGGCCAAAGTATTGGACCTTCAGCTTCATCAGCAGTCCTTCCAATGAGTATTCAGGGCTGATTTCCTTTAGGACTGACTGCTTTGATCTCCTTGCAGCCCAAGGGACTCAAGAGTCATCTCCAGGACCACAGTTCAAAAGCATCAATTCTTTGGTAGTCAGCCTACTTTATGGTCCAACTCTCACATCTGGTCATGCCTACAGCTAAAACCATGGCTTTGACTATATGGACCTTTGTTGGCAAAAGTGATGTCTCTGTTTCTTGATACACTGTCTAAGTTTATTATAGCTTTTTTTTTCAAAAGAGCAAGCGTCTTTTAATATTGTGGCTATAGTCACTGTCCACAGTGGTTCTGGAGCCCAAGAAAATGAAACCGGTCACTGCTTCCATTGTTTCCCCATCTATTTGCCATGAAGGGAAGGGGCCAGATATGATGATCTTAGTTTTTTGAATGCTGAATTTTAAGCCAGCTTTTTCACCCTCCTCTTTCACCTTTGTCAAGAGACTCTGGTTCCTCTTCACTTTCTGCCATTATAGTGATGTCATCTGCATATCTGAGATTGTTTACATGTCTCCTGGCACTCTTGACTCCCGCTTGTGCTTCATCCAGCCCGGCATTTCATAAGAGGCCACTAGAGAGCAAATGGCATCCTCCCAACAGCCTGCGCTGACCTGCCCCCACCTGCAGGCGACTGGCCTCTATCTTATTACTTCCAATGCCGCCAGGGAGACCTTCTGTAACGGCACCGCTCCATCAGCCCTAACCTGAAGGGCCAGCCCCATCTCTGAGCTTGTTGGTGGTACTCATGCTTGGTTTAGGGACATCCTCTGGGCCTCCTGACCCTTCCAAACAGCTCCATCCAGCCCATTCCTACATCTCTGCATCTTTAATCCTTCTTCCTCCATGTGCCACGGCAGAGCTGGCATCTCAGTACGGATCAACACTGTCCACCTTCAGAGCATCTCTGCAGCCTGTTAGTCTGTCTCCTGTTGTTAAACCCTTTGTGAGTGGCACTTAGTCTATTTAAACTGCCATAACAGTGTTCCAGAGCCCGGACGTAAACAGCAGATATGTATTTTCTCACAGCTCTGGAGGATGAAAGTGTCCTGGGGAGGCGGGGAATTAGAGCAGCTTTTGTGACAGGCTCAGGGGCTCTCTCCTTCACCAGCAGGGGCCATTTCCCAGCAGGGACAGGCTATAGCGCAGGAGCGCCTCTCTTTGGGACCGGCTCTGTTATGCCCAGTAGCTTAGCAGAAGAGACTACTTGAGGTTCTAGGACCCATGACCTTGGTTCCTGGCAGCAAATTGCTGTTAAGCAGAAGAGCCGGTGCACATGTGTTCAGGTCCAGTGAGATGTACCATGAACTCCACACTGAACCCGAGCGCTGTGAGAAGAATGCAGGCTGCTGGCAGTGTCAGCTTGTCTCCCGTGTGAAAGGTGGGCGTGCAGCCTGTGACCTTTTCCTGATCCGGGCCATAGCGCCTCATGAGAGTGTGAAGCATGACTTGGGCTGGGTGTTCCAGAGAAAGAACAGCCCGACCCTACTCTGTGCTGCGTGGGAGCTTGTAAGATGGACCCACCAGCACCATTTCCACCTATTCTTTGTGACATCAGCGCTGTCTGTCCTCTAGGTCGGGCGGCCAGCCTGGGGGCTCAGGATGCCCTGATGGGCAAACTGCCTGGGGCTGCACCCAGTGCCAAGCGCCTCCCCCCAGCAGCAGGGGCCCGGCATCCTCTAGCTTCCAACCATCCATAGCTCACGAGTCTGCCCTCTTGTAACTTGACCGGAAGCCTGCACCTGGACCCTCCAGCACTTGTCCCCTCTGCCTTTCTGGCCTCAGCTCCCAGCCCCTCTTCTGCTCAGTCCATCCTGACGCTGCTGGAGGGCCCACTGCCCCCCTCCTCACGACCCTTTTCCTCCGCTGTGTCCTGGCCTGGAAGGAGCCCCGTCCTCCCAGCACCACAGCTGCAGGGTCAGGGCCTCCCTACAGGTCGGGCCCTTTCCCAGGTCAGGCCCTTGCACGTGCTGTTCCTTCTGCTGGGAAGCGTCTTCCTCCACTTCCTGTCTGGAAGCTTGCTATTCCTCCTTTATTTCTCCCCATCGCCTAGAGATTTTCTCTGGGCCTCCCATCCCACCTCCATAGCACTGACTGAAGAATACAATTCTGTATTAACCTGTGTGCTTGGCCCACACCCTTCTCACCCACCAGACAGGCTTCATGGGCTCACTCTGTTCTCTGCTGGATCAGGACTGGGACCAAAGCAGGAGCTCCTGATCTTTGGGAGGAAAGAACCCAGGGATGTAACTGTCATGGACATGGCTGTTCCCTCCTAACATGGACAACATGGGTGATACCCACAGCATGGCATATAAAGCTCAGCTCAGCGGCTCCTCCCAGCTCCACCTCTACCCACTGTGTGAGCCAGCCCCTCACCCCCGGAGCAGGCCAGTGCACACCTCCTGACAGCCTGACGAGACCCCCGGCTCCTGACCTGTACGGGGAGCACCTGTAGGTCTGTCCATAGGGTGGTTTGGATACTAAGCTGGTGGAGATGTAAGTGAC